GCCGGTGGGCACATGGCTTTCCCACGGGGCCCCAGCGTGGGAGTCAGGGTGCAGCTGCCTCACTGAGAGGCAAAGGGATCCTCAGCCCCGCAGGAGATTCTGCAGGCAGAGCCTCTTACCGCCAGGTTAAGAATTCCCCCTCCTGGATGTAGCCGAGGTTCTCTCCTGCCTTCCCCGGGGGCTGCATCTGAGCAAGTCAGACTGAAGTGAAACGTTCCCTGCAGGTGCAGTGACGACATCAGGGCCGGGGTCAGCAACCTGCTTGTCTACGTGAAGAGCATGAAAGGCCTCGCGGGGATTCGCGACGCGGTGTGGGAGCTGCTGATGAGCGAGTCCATAAGCCAGAACTGGGAGGCGGTGTGCCGTCGCCTTTTGGACAAGCCTGCTTCCTTCTGGGAGGATCTGCTGCAGCAGCTCTTCCTGGACAGGCTAGAGGTGGGCGCGCTGCCACGACAGTTCATGGGGAGCCTTGCCCTGTGCCCCCTCTTCTTGCCTCAAACAGTGGTGCCTGTTAGCAGCACTAAGGGTGTATTTTAAGTGCTGGGTGGCAGGAGGCACATGTAAAAGGTCGTTTTTTTTTTTTTTTCTTCTGCTTTTCTTCCAGACACTGACCAAAGAAGGGTTTGACTCCATCTCGAGCAGCTCCAAGCAGCTTCTCACCTTAGCTCTGCAGGAACTTGAAGTCAAACCCGGCACCTCTACCCTGAGCAAGCACGTCCAGTTTGAACACAACGCAGCCCTGTTCCTGTGGTCAGAGAGCTCCAGCGACCTGCCTTCCGACGCCGCTTGGGTCAACGTGGCAAACCGCGGCCAGTTCGCCAAGAGCGGCCTGTCCATGAAGGCCCAGGCGCTCACGCCATGTGTGCAGAGCTTCTGCTCGGCTCTGGACTCCAAGCTGAAGGCCAGGTTGGACGATCTCCTGTGCTACCTTCCCGCGGACTCCTCGGCTGCCAAGGAGGCTGCTCCCACGGTGCAGCCGCGCTCTGCCTTTGACCGCTACGCCGATGCCAGCACAGTGGAGGGGCTGCTCCGTGACCACTGCGTCACCTGCATCCACCACGTGCTGGGCTGCCTGCGCGATGAGCTCCAGAGTGCCCAGAGCCTGCTGGGGGGGCAGGCGGACGCTCCCAGCGATGCCAGACTCAACGCTGTCCTCTTCATGGCGAGACTCTGCCAGTCCCTGACCGAGCTCTGCCCTCACCTGAAGCAGTGTATCCTGGGCCAGTCAGGCAGCACGGAGATGGCGCTGAAGGAAACCCGCTCCACCAAGAAGCTGGGGAAGGGGAAAGCCCAGGAAGTGACCCCCGCGCAGGCCAAGTGGCAGGGGGTGAAGGCAGAGCTCCTGCAGCAGAGCCTGTTTGCTTACCAGATCTGGAGCTCAGCTGTCACCAAAGTAAGGAGCTGTTTCTCTTGTCACAGCTGCTTCCTGCGTGGGTGTCGCTCGCTCAGCTCCCTGCGGTCAGCGCTGCTGCTCCTTAGCTGGCTGCTGAGAGCTCGCTGGGCTGGTGCTGTGCTGCTCGGTGAGCCTGCAGGGAGAGGAGGCGGTGGCAGCTCGGAGGTGGCATGCAGTGGGATGGTCTCCATGGAATTCACTTTGGGAGGAGCAGGGGGATGTGGGAGGTTGGTTTCTCTGCAGGCAGGAGCAGGCTGCTCTTCCTTTGGTGCTCCCATTAGAGCTGTCTGTGACTGGGTGCTTTTGTGTTTTGGTGCTCTAGGGTCTGGTTCAGTGCTTTAGCCACACGTTGCTGCTCGACACAGCTGGCTCTGTCTTGGCCGCAGCCACCAACTGGGATGAAATTGAAATTCAGGAGGAAACGGAGTCTGGAAACAGCGTAACATCAAAGATCCGGCTGCCCGTGCAGGTATGAGAAATGTCCTCTCGGCAAACACAGAGGAGCAGTCTGCTGGGGGGAGAAAAGCACCGATTTCCAAACCCGCTGCTTTGCCAAATGCTGCTGACCTGCTGCGGAGTTTGCCTGGTGTTATGAGCAGAGGGCAAACACTCTCTGGTGCTCTTATTTGCTCTTTGAGATACTCGCCTCCTAAGGACAGAGGTCAGAGGAAGGAAATTAGATAGTTGCTGCTGTATATTCAAATGAGTAAGATTGGCCCAGATCCTGTCAAACTGAGCTAAAGGAGGACTTGTGCCTGGTTTGTACACAGAGGCCCCCAGGGGTGGGATTTCGTGGAAGTTGGATGCACTGGAGGACAGGGCTACAACAACGGGGAGAACCGAGGTCTTGCAGCTCTCCTTAGGCGTGGTGGTGGTGGTGCAGGAGTGACACGCGCAGGGACAAAGCAGGTGGCGATGGCGTGGAGGGAGAGGAGGGGCTGGACAGGGCAGTAGTCTTTCGCAGTGAATCTTGTAAGGTGAATTTTGTTAATTCTGAAGGAAAAAGCATCCGGATGAGAGCTCAGGATAGCTGGGAGGCCCAGGAGAAGAGCAAGGGAGTAAATAACAAGCCCGGGTAGTGGGTGATCAGAGCAGGCTCAGTGGTGACAAAAGAGGCACAAGCAATTCTGTTCTGACTACGCTCAGGTGAATATCTCTGGTAAAAGTACTTGTGGGACTCTGAGGACTGCTATAACAAAAGTCTGGTGTGTCAGTAAATAAAACCCCATGAGATACCTGAGCCATGCTGTGGGGGCAGGAAGGTCTCAGCGGCAGAGCTTTGTGGTTGCTGAGGAAGTAGGAAGCTCACATCACGAGAACCGAAGCGATGTTGTGCTGCTGATAAAGCTAACGTAGCTTATAGGCCACATGAAAATAACCCTCTTTTCTTAACCAGCCATCCTGGTACGTCCAGTGTCTCCTCTTCAGCCTGTGCCAAGAGGTGAACCGGGTCGGTGGTCACACTCTTCCAAAAGTCACCTTGCAGGACTTGCTGAGGACCTGCATGGCCGAAGTGCTTGCTGCCTATGAAAAGCTTGTGGAAGAGAAGCAGGAGAAGGTACGTGAGTAGGATCAGCCTTTGCTCTGGCTGGTGTGGGACGGGAGGGTGACTGGGCACACGGTGTCCCTCGGAATGGAAAATGTCTGCCTGTGAGAGTTGGAAGGGATGAGTATGTTCTTCCCCTGCCTTCCCCCAAAAATGAGACAAAAAGGGATCAGACACCAGATTGCATGCTCAGAATGGTTCAGTTGGGTTGGTTGTTTCTTGGTGCTGGTGTTTCCAAATGTTTCCCCTGAAGCAGTCCTTTGACAGCCCTCCCTCAGTGCGAGTGAGGAGCCCTGGTCCTGACTGTCCTCCTTGCAGAAAGCAGGCACCTTCCCCATGACCCAGAACCGAGCTCTGCAGTTACTCTACGATCTGCGGTACCTGAGTATCATCTTGACGGCGAAGAGCGAGGAAGCAAAAACCAGCAGGATCAAGCATGACTCCGGGTGCGGTGCAGTTCTGGGGTTCAAACAGTAGCAGTAGTTTGTGGGGCCCTAAAATGGTTTAAACCAACGTCCTTAGCGGCTGTCAGGAGAACGCTGCAGGATTGGTGCCTTTGGGCCTCACGGGAGAGGGGCAACACGGACTCAGCTCTGACGTGTTCACTGACACTAAGCTCATCCTCGAAATACAGGAGGGGTGGGATTCTGCAGCCGAGAGCTCAGAAACAGCAGGCTGGTCCCCCTGCTTGCATACACAGTGTGTCCGTACGGCGGCAGGGATGCTGTCGGAGGATGCCCGGAGAGAACAGTTAAGCTCCCACCTGAGAGTTAAAACCTTGTGTATGCTCCAGTCTTGAGCACGGAGGCATCTCTCTCTGAGATGTATCACAGGGAAAAGGTTCCCCTGCGACAGCAGATGCTGGAGGCTGTGGAATAGCAAGAAACCCTTTGGCAGCTGCCGACGGCGGCAGGGATGCTGTTGGAGGATGCCCGGAGGGAACAGTTAAGCTCCCACCTGAGAGTTAAAACCTTGTGTATGCTCCAGTCTTGAGCACGGAGGCATCTCTCTCTGAGACGTATCACAGGGAAAAGGTTCCCCTGCGACAGCAGATGCTGGAGGCTGTGGAATAGCAAGAAACCCTTTGGCAGCTGCCGTTCTGCGGAGCCATTCCCGTTTTGCTCAGTCGCCTCTTAGGGCCAAGCCTTTCACTGTTTCAGAGGGACCAGTGAAACCACCCTGTTGGCATCAGCAGCCATTGCTAGGATGTCACCCCTGACAGGCCTCTGCTCTGCTTGCAGGCCCCCG